AGGGATGAGGAAAGCAAGACCGCAGATGTGGCCACTCCCCGTTCAGAGATGGCTGTCCTCAAGGGAGTTTTGGCATTTTAGAAATACAGCACAAGCCTCTCAGAAACATTAAATGCTTCCAGATGGATCTCAGATTTGTCTGCCTCGTGGACAAAGAGTATTGCTAGGTGCTCCCATGCAGCATCGTAGATCAGGCAAACATCAGCAATATATAAATTCTACACATCCACCAGGACGTATTTTCTGCAACCGAGTGGCTCAAGTAAGCCTCTAAGGGGCTTATTAAAAACGATGAATGCAAAAATCATGTTTAAGCCTCCAGTGTCTACCGATAGCCTAAAGGACCAATTCCACATTCTTCAGGAATGACATTCAAGGCCTACATGGCCCCTTCTTTGCTCTCTACCAGGCTGATTCTTCTCCCAGCCTGGCCGAGCAGCTCCCAGCTCCTGAAGTTGCTCTGTCCCCTGCGTCCTGTCTCTTCTTCACAAATCATTGTTTTTCAACTTGCTAGGTAAATTAATCCAAGTCTCTTCCAATCCCCACACCCCAGGCCTATCTGACCACCCGCACTTTTTGCCATCACTGTAACCTCTACAGCAGAAGCTCTTATCTGACTGCACAGTGGAGTCACTGGGGAGCTTGAAAGCAATATTGATATCAACTCAGACCAATGAAATCAGAATGTAGGTGAGGGAAATGTCTTGCTTGTTATGAAACAGCTATGGCAAGTGGTGGGATGCAAATGCAGGGCCTCTGGACTCTGATTTGAATTCCAGCTTCTCTTCTTTCCAGCCTTGTAGGTAACCGTGGGCAAAGTACTTCACCTATGTGTGTCTCCAGTTCCTTACCTCTAAAACTAAGGCAAGAGAAACCCCTACCTGACCAGGTTGTTGTGAAGACTGTGTATTAATATATGACTGGCACTTGGTATGTGCCCAATTAATGTTCATTATGATGAGTGCACCAATCTCCCTCTAAAACAGCGTTTTTCAACCGCTGTTCCGCGGCACACTAGTGTGCCACGAGATGTTGCCTGGTGTGCCGTAGGTGCAGACAAGACAAGAATTTTATAATTTTTCACTATTTTGTTTACTTAATATTTCATAATAAAGAAATTATAAAATACTTTCTTTGTGTTTATTTGATTCCTATTCAAGAGAATTACTTTATATATAGTCAATATAGGCACAGAGTTAAATTTTTTAACATTTTCTAATGGTGGTGTGCCTCGTGATTTTTTTTCATGAAACAAGTGTGCCTTTGCCCAAAAAAGGTTGAAAAACACTGCTCTAAAAGACTCAAGGCAACTTGATGATAGGACTTGCATCTTACTCCCGTCTACCTTGCCCAGAGTATGCACAGAGATTGTTTTTCTGAAGGATTAAATAGATGTGTGATTAAAGATGAATTTTGACTTTAGGAGACAAGAAGTTTATATAGAAGAAGTGGTCTATAAGTTGAACCTTGAAAGATGGATAGTTGTGGGAGGCAGGTAAAGAGTGGTAAGGTGAGGCATTCCAGCCAGAACAATAATAAGAGCATGAGCCCTATTTGCAGTCGGTAGAGAAAAAACAAGAGCCTGGGGTGTGGGGGTCAGAGGGGAGGATTATAGAAGAGAATTGCTGTGAGATGGTTTGAAAGGCAAGTTAGACCATTTCATGAAAAGTCTTTAGTGCCTCACTAAGGGGTTTGGGTTTTATTCTGTACAAAATGAGGGGACTGAGAGAAAAAGTTCTGAGAGGATGAATACATAATCAGACCTGAGCTTTAGGAAGTTGATTCTTTCCAACTGAAGGGTGACCTTCAGCAAAGAAAGCAAGGAATAAGGAGTGGCTTAGGAGATGACTATGACCTCTATTTGATATCAATATCGTCTGTAAATGGTAAATCTTCCCAAGAGATCATCTTATTAATTTCTGATTTATTAACATATATGCACAGGGTAAAGATTTAAATAGAACAGAACTGTAAACTCAGTCCCATCTCTGATCACCACTTACCCAGTTCTGTTTCCCTGAAGCAATAACTGTTATTGAGTTAAAAAGAATTAATTGAATTAAGAGAGTACTACGAACAATTTTACAGAAACAAATTGGATAAATTAACAAATTCCTAGAAACACAAAACCTACCAAAACTAATTCATAAAGAAATAAAAAAATCTAAATAGATCTATGAGTAGTAAGGAGATGGAATCAGTACTCAACATAGTATTGAAAGATCTAGCCAGAGAAATTAGGCAAGAAAAAGAAAAAGGCAACCAAACTGAAAAGGAAGAATTAAAATTATCCTGTTTACAAACATATGATCTTATATGCAGAAAATCCTAAAGATCCCATAACAAGATTATATTCCATCAATTAGAACTAATAACTAAGTTCAGCCAAGTAGCAGATTACCAAGTTAACACACAAAATTCAGTTGCCTTTCTATGAACAATTCAAAAAAAAATTTAAGAAACAATTCCATTTACATAAAAAAAAGACTTAAAAATTAACCTAACCAAGATGGTAAAATTCTTGTACAATGAAAACTACAAAACATTGCTCAAATAAACTAAAAAGACATAAATAAATGGGTACATATCCCATGTTTACAAATTAGAAGACTTAATATTGTTAAGCTATCAATAGCACCCAAAACTGTCTACAAATTCAATGCAAAACCTATCAAAATCCCAATGGTGTTTTTTGAAGCAATAGAAAAACCCATCCAAATATTTATACGGAATCTCAAAGGACCGCAATAGCCAAAGCATTCTTGAAGAAGAAGAGGAGAGCTGAAGGACTGTTCCTGATTTTTTATAACTGACTACAAAGCTACAGTAACCATAACAGTGTGGTACTGGCATAGAGACACACATACAAACAAATGGAATTGAGTAAAGTCCAAAAACTAACCCTCATGTACATGGCCACGCAGTTTTTGACAAGGTGCAAAGACAGTTGCTTCAACAAATGGTGCTGAGCCAAATGGATATCCACATGCAAAAGAATAGCTTTGGACCCTCGCCCAACACAATATACAAAAATTAACCCTAATGAATCAAAGATCTAAATATGAAACCAAAAAATGAAAAAATTCTTAGAAGAAAACATAGGACAAAAGCTTCACAGCAACTGGATCTGGCAAAAACTTCTTAGACATAACACGCATAGACAATAAAAAATAGATGAATTGGACTGCATAAAAATTAAAAATTGTTTTGCATCAAAAGACCATGGCAACAGAGTAAAAAAGCAACACAGAATGGGAGAGAATGTTTACAGATCATATATCTGATAAGGGATTATTATCCAGATTGTATAGATAACTAAAATTCAACAACAAAATGATTAAAAACTGGGCAAAGTACTTGAACTGACATTTCTCCAAAGAATACCAATGGCCAACAAGGACGTGAAAAGATGTTCAATGTCAGTAATCGTTAGGGAAGTGCAAATCAAAACCACAATGAGATGCCACCTCATACCCATTAGAATGAATACTAGCAAAGGAAACAGAGAATAACAAGTGCTTGGTGAGGATGTGAGATTTGGAACCCACGTGCATTGTTAGTGGGATTGTAAAATTGTACCGCCACTCTAGAAAACATATGACGTTTCCTCAAAAAATTAAAAATAGAATTACCATATAATCTAGCAATCCCATTCTGGACAGGGACTCAAAGAGAACAATGCACACCCGTGTTCATAGCATAGCTTGAGTGTCCATGGACTGATGAATGATCAACTGAGAAATAAATTTAAAAATGGGGTATATATACACACAGAGGAATATTATTCAGCCTTAAAAAGGAAGGAACTTCTGCCGGGACCGGTTTGGCTCAGTGGATAGAGCGTCTGCCTAAGGACTGAAGGGTCCCGGGTTCGATTCCGGTCAAGGGCATGTACCTTGGTTGCGGGCACATCCCCAGTGGGGAGTGTGCAAGAGGCAGCTGATCGATGATTCGCTCTCATTGATGTTTCTAACTCTCTGTCCCTCTCAGTTCCTCTCTGTGTAAAATCAATAAAATATATTTAAAAAAAAAAAAAAAAGGAAGGAACTTCTGACATGTAGTACAATGTGGAAGAGTCCTGAGAATATTACACTATTAGAAACAGGCCAGTCACAAAAAGATAAATACTATATGGTTGCACTTACATGAGGTACTTAGAGTAGTTAAAACGGCAGAGATGGAAAGCAGAATGGTGATGGCCAGGGCTGGGAAAGCAGGAGGATGGGGAGTTAGCTTTTAATGGCAGAGGGCTTCAGTTTTAGAAGACAAGAAGAGTTCTGGAGATGGATGGAGGTGATGATGGCACAATAGGAATGAGTTTATAATACTTAACAATGGTTAAGATAGTAAATTTTTTTTAATATATTTTATTGACTTTTTACAGAGAGGAAGGGAGAGAGATTGAGAGCTAGAAATATCGATGAGAGAGAAACATCGACCAACTACCTCTTGCACACCCGCTACCAGGGATGTGCCCGCAACCAATGTACATGCCCTTGACTGGAATCGAACCCGGGACCTTTCAGTCTGCAGACCGATGCTCTACCATTGAGCCAAACCGGCTTCAGCAAGATAGTAAATTTTATGTTTGTGTATCTTACCACAATAAAAAATTTAAGAGAAAAATACTGCAAAAAACAAACAAAAAAAACCACACACACACCAAAAAAAAACCCCACACATAACCATAAGGCCATATTGTTGCTGGTTAGCAACTTGCTCTTGAAATTGTCAAGTTGTTTCCTCGTTAGTTCTAAGCAAAGACCAGGTCTCTGAAGGGCAGAATGCTGGTGGCTGGAACCGGTTTTCTCAGTGAGAACAGACTCTCTGGGTACCAGCGCATTGGCCACTAACCATCTGCATGACCTCTTATAGGAACTTGCAGCTAAATCCTAAGACTCCAGAGGGCAATGCAGCGCGAACAGCCTTGCCCCACACTCCAGTGCCTCCAGCTCAGAACTCTGGCTGAGATGTGATGGTGTTATTGTTTCCTCCCCTCCAGGGTGCCATTGGGAGATTTATGGGGATTGTTGTCCTCACTATGAAGGCATCTGTTATTGAAATGTTCCTCGGTAAGTACTTTTATATGTGTATCTGGATACTCTGTTAACATTCTCCTAAGGTCCAAAGAAATCCTGCCAAGAAAAGCATATAAACAGCACAGAGCATCGCTTTATGGTAAACCTTTTGGAGAGAAGTCCAAGTGAGAATGCTAAGTGTAGATCAAGTTCAGGGCGTATGTGTAAATATATTTTTATGTACAGTAAGTACATCCATTACATTAGAATGTCTCTATGTATTGCGTACACACATCTCTGTATGTATTATATTCTTCAGCAACGGACAAATATTTCAGATAGAGCAGTGGTTCTCAGCCTTTCTAATGCTGCGTCCCTTTAATGCAGTTCCTCATGTTGTGGTGACCCCCAACCATAAAATTATTTTCGTTGCTACTTCATAGCTGTAATTTTGCTTTTGTTATGAATCCTAATGTAAATATCTGTGTTTTCCAATGGTCTTAGGCTCTACAGCAGCGGTTCTCTATAATCTTGATCCACAGGTTGAGAACCGCTAGCAGGGTCGCCTAAGACCATAGAAAACACAGATATTTACATGTCTGTTCCATGCCCCATAAAGAACCTCCTCATATCTGTGTGTCATTCGCCTGGCCATCAGTCTGGTTCTCCAAAAAGCGGTGTCTTGCTCATGTTGCATTTCCAGTGCTGAGCACACCAGATAGGCCCTCAAGGAACACTGCTACATAAATTCTTCTCCTAAGGCAGTGGTCGGCAAACTCATTAGTCAACAGAGCGGCAAACCGCGGCTCGTGAGCTGTATGTGGCTCCGCCAGCCACAGTTTGCCGACCACTGTCCTACGGGATGCCAGATTTTTAAGGCAGCAGAGTCCAAACCTGCCCGTTTTGTGTTGGGTGACAAATTATGACCAGAGATGTTGATCATGTCTTTGCCAGCAATGTATTCAACACAGGTTTGCTGCAAAAATTTCAGAAGCCAGCAGCACACAGGATAACACCTCTCAATGAGCCAATTAAGAAAGAAAATACTCCAAAGCAGTGATGGATTAATGGCACTGTTTTTCTAGGCAAGGCGAGATGAAAGAGAGAAAGTCCAAATTCAGATGAGGTGTATCTTCTCATATGCTAGGCCCGCAGGAGAGCAGCTTCACCAACTGCCCACTGATCTACAGCTGCCAGTGCCGAAATGCAAGCCACGTGTTCCTGCCACGTTTCTAGGGAATGACAGTGCTGGTGTTGGCAGGCAGATGGTCCTCGCTAGGTCAGTGTGTGGCATTCACCACTGTCCGAGAGGAGTCCCTTTGCCAAGACAGAAGCTAATGGCATAGGTGTTTCTCCCCATGTTCTTATGGATAAGCCCCCAGCAGGGACTCTCAGCAGCTGAGCTACTAATTGATTATCAGCCACAACACATGAGACGATGATATCCTGACAGGACTTACTTCATCCTTATATGAAACAACTTTATTACTAAAAACAACCTTTTTTTTTTTTTTTTTTTGTCTTTGCACTTATGAGGAGGAGCAAGTAGAGGAAGAGGCAAAGGCTGTGGCCAGCATACCTGCATTCTGGTTCCAATTTCTGTCCCCAAAGAACTGTAGCTTTAACCAAAGAATACACCCTTTTCTGTAAAATAAAGAGATGGCCTCCAAAGCTCCTCCCAGCATTGTTATTTTATGACTTGAAACGTAATTTTGTGATTTATATGATTGTAGAGCAGGGTGTCCTGTCTTTGCTATGAAGCTCTGATTTATTTGATGCTGGATGTTTCACTGAGTACATAACCCCAAATTAAAGCATGTGGGAAATGTGAATGTCTTTAAAATGATCTGCTTTTTAAATCAGTTTTCAGGAAGGCATTGTGGACAGTGGTAAAGAGGACCAGAGCTGGACAGTGGTTAAAGTGGTAAAAACAGACTATAATCAGGAAAAAAGGACAGTATAGAACTGGGCTCAATTCCAAAGACAACAATGAAAGTGGGGCTTCACAACCAAGGAGGAGGCTGCAGGCGTCAGTGGATAGAAATCTCTAAGAGTCCGGGGGCTCTTGCTGAAGCAACTTGACAGGATTCCTGCTAAAGGCCACAGGGTGGTCAGGTTTCCGGGGAGTGGAAAGGGTTCTCTCTAAACAGGATTCCTGTTAAAACTGGGCAACGCAGGTCCAACAAAGGTGGACACTCAAGCCCAAGGTCAAAGCATAGTTGAGGGGAGGGCTTAGAGGAATCTGACTACCATTTTATCAAGGAGAGGGTCCTTGTCAACACTCCCCAAGTTAGTAACCTCAGGGTCCAGCAGTGTGTGGGCTAGAATGAGGCCCTTCTTTAAAAGTCCCAGACCTATGCTAAGTATTCAGTAGGTGCTTTCTGATGTGACCACTGACCAGATGTCCTGGCCCTTCATGACTTTCCTTGAAAGTAAACGGATTCTGATTGTAACTTATTACTGACAAGAAAACTGGAACACAAGTTCCCATGAACTCTGTCAATGGTTTTAGAAAGCATTTCTCATTACTGTGAAGATATATGATTTCAATATGACCAAGTTAAAAAACAACTCTGCTGGCTTTTTCTAAATGTAAGAGAAGCATAATCAATATAAGACATAGAATATACATGAGAAGCAATATAGGTAAGATAGAAATTATAATTACATCCTTATTAGCATTTGTTATATTTGTTCCAGTTATTTCTCTACATATATTCTTATTTTGTCAGAATTACTCTTAAGGCGAGGGCTGAGCCTGTCCCACGTCCTTTAATCCTCTACATATCATTTGTAATAAACCTTATGATGTTCCTGTTGTTGGAACATTTCCAGTATCTCATTATTTCCAGATCATCACCGGAAGTCATGCTATAATGAACATTGTTTACATTAATTGTTGTCTATAACGTGGGCTATGTTCCTAGGGGTATATATTCTAGGACAAAGACTATGAATGTTTCTAAGGCCATGACTGCCTTGGAACTTTGGCATCTAGACATCCTTTCCTCGAGGCTTCGAGACGCTAATGGCCTCACTAGCCAGATGACTGACTACTCCCCGCGGAGGGCCTGGCTTTCAAGCCCGTATTTCGCTTTGTACTCTGAAGTGTGCACCAGCCATCTCCACCTCTGACTGGCTTCCTGAGAAAAGGAACACGGCTGATTTTTCTCTCACCCAAGTTCAACACCCGATGCAGCATTTCGTTTTAGCAAGAGGAGTCTTACTGATGAGGAATGAAGACTCGCCGCAGGGCACAAGCACATTTGCAGCCTTACTGCCCAGCCCTCCTGGAGAAGTGACCTCTGGGAGCTTTAATTAACAAGTCTCACGAGGGGATGGCCTCTGTGACCCACGGAAAGTGATTAATGACTTGATGAAGCAGGGCTGTTTTCAGCCTGGAGGGTCGTGGGTGAGCAAATGCGGGTGAGGGGGTATTACTGAAATATTTATAGTCCTAATGATACCAGAGCTTATGTACACCACTTGCCATAGACACTCAAGCCCAGGACAGGATTTGGTTTTCCACAAAATGGATACTCACATTTATTACTGTGTCACTTATTCCATCAACTTACCTTGTGTCATTTATTTTCTATATATTTAGTACTTTTTTTAATTTCAAGGATTCTAGTTATTTATTTTTGTCTATAAAATGAAAATGTGGTCTCTGCAGTGTTAAATGACACAGAGGCTACTATGAAAAATGAAACTTGCAGGACGCTCACACACACCCAAACCCCAGAAGTAAATAACACCTACAAGTGTCTGCTTTCATTCTGCTTGGCTAGACCTGGGGCTGCCACTGAATTCTCTTTCATGTTTCTGTTTGTACAGGACATGGTATGTCATCTGTCCCGACCTTGGCTAATGCTGGTTGTCAAAACTGGGGATAATTCAGTGGCTGCATCATTGGCAGAGTAGCTAGAGAATCATAAGATAAATATAAATAAAGTCCCCAGAACAAACTTGGGGACATTGCCTCCTTTTTTACCTTAAAGACAGTTTCCAATTCAAGAATTTCTAAGTCCATTTATGCCTAAATCAAGCCTCTGTGTTCTGTGAAAAAACAAACATAAAAACTAGAAAGGAAAACGCCTGTTTTGGTTAGTCTGTTGCCTCAATGTTCACCTCAGAGTCCCAACTCTATCTAGAAAGCGGGTTTCTCAGAAAAGTGGTTGAAAGAGAGGGAAGTTAAAGCAGCACTACCTTGGAGTGAAAGAATGCCTGGAGAGAAAAGAAGAATAGAAAACAGACTGACCCTTTGAAAGGAAAAACATTACTGGTAGAATTACATACAGGGTAGTGAGAATTTTGCCAATAAAAAAAAAATCACAATATACCTCAATAAATAAAAAATCTTAAGAGGGCATAGCTTTCAGGCAAGAAATCCTATTTGGAGGTTTGTTTTAAGGAAATGATAATAGATCAGTACAAAGATGGAGCTACTCGTGTTAAATTGGAAATTGCCTAAATTATGATATATGCATATAGTACATATTATATATATAATATACACACATACACACTTTTTTTGTAGAAAGCAAGCAAGAATTCATTGACTGCAGCAAAAATATTCTTAGGCTGGGCTGTTTTGGCTCACTGGGAAGTCAGAGAAAGGGCCTCGGAGACAGGTTCAGGAGGTTAGCCCAGGACGAGCTGCCACTGCCCATTGCTCCTCTGTTTGCAAGTCTCCTGGGGACCCTTAGAGGTTAGGGGATAAGTTCCTATAGGGGAAGGAGAGAGGGGAGGCAATGGCATGGGTGTGCTCCCTGGAGGAGCACCAATACATATATTTACAGGCAGTTAAAGTTATTTTAACAGTAACATTTAATGACAAAAAAAGTCCGCATATATTCTTAATACACATAAGTTCTAAAACATTGGAAACAGTATGAGCATGATCAAATATTTGTTTAAAAGTACCTATATGAATACATATATACATATAGAAAAAGACTGATAATATATGTTTGTGTTCATCCATGTTTTCTGTTCTGTTTTTTGTGTTTTTTTACATTTTTCTGCAAGGAATCTATGTATTCTTTTAGTAATAAAAAAAAAAATTGAGGAGAACCAAGATGGCGGCATAGGTAAACACCTATACTTGCTGCCTCTCACCATCACATCAAAATTACAACTAAAAGGCAGAACTACCACCATCCAGAACCGTGGGAAAGCTAGCTGAGTGGAAGTTCCACAACTAGAGAGGTGAAAAACAAATACATATCTATCAACAAGTGAAACTAAAAATCAAATGAATAAAAAAAAAATCTGATGAACAGAGCTGGTGAATGTAATAGAATTAGGGGCATGGAAAGGGAGCGGACTGACAATTCTTAAGGGGAAAGGGTTGTTGGCGTGCAGAGATTGGACAAGGACAGTGGGGTGGGGGGGACAGCCTGGAGTGGGGTGATAATCGGGTGGAGGGGAGCTGGGGGGGGATTGGAACATCTGTAATAATGTGAACAATAAAGATTTTTAAAAATCGGTCAATGTTATTTTTTAAAAACACAAGGCTCGAACTGGTAATGTGACTTTAAATTTTAAATGATAAAGAGGTCCCCCTACTTCCCCTACTGTTACACTTCCCAAAGGAGAACAGCATCCAAATGCTGCTTGCAGCTCTGCTCCTGTTTCTGAGGCAGCTCCAGCATCTGCAGGTGTCCTTCATGGTGGGTGCAGAGCCCTGTGCTGCTGGAGGGACCACCTGGGGAACACACATCACACCTCAGATCTTACAGCCCCTCTCTACTCCTTTTCCTTGTCACCTTTTCCTTGTCTTCCTTTCCCAGAGAGCCCTTCTCTGGGGCTTTTTACATATCCCCTCCACTCACCACCCTAAATCTATGGTGCGTGCACGCGTACATGCACACAAGCATGCCATTCTCTGACCATTTGGAAACTCATTGTGACAAGAGGAAAGAACACAAGAAGGGTCTGGAGCTCATGTACCTCTATCACCCATTCTTAGGGCCAAGCAAACCACATTCCCTCCTTTGCAAAACGGAGATGGTAGGATTGGTGTGGTGACATTTAAAGACAACGAAGGCTAGGCATCTGAAAAGTATTTCTGAAAACCTTTCCTCCAGGAGGCCACGTATACAAAAGATATGTCTTATTTCCTCACCTTAATATCAGGGGAAATTAGTTTAACTAATGAGAATATTTTAATATGTGACCTAAGCAACTATCAGGATCAAGACTGAGAAAGTGTTGAGGTGAACTAATATTGATGAGTTATTTTGTGTTTTCTTCATGTAGTTTTGCTGGTGACTGGAATACACTCAAATAAAGAAACGACCAAGAAGATTAAAAGGCCTAAATTCAGTAAGTAAAGCTGCAATTCCTCACTCACATAAGGCTTGTGTCTCCATGAGGAGGGTTGTTACGTGTTTTTTGTTCAGATAATTTGGAACGTTGTTTTTTTTTCTTTGTCTTGTACTTCATCTACTCTGGGCTCAGACTAATTAGCAATGATTCTTATTTATCACTTATCCCATTCCGAAAAGCATGAGAGACAGGAATCCTAAGGTTAGGGTGAAAGATACGTTTTCTATACCAGAAAAATCCAAAATACACAAAGACCAGGCAATACAATATCGCTACGGCTATTGTGAGAAGGTATTTTCCTGCCATTGAAATGATGTCTTCATCACCATACCAGAAAATTCAGTCTGGCTAATGCAAAGGTCCAGCAAACCTGCCCACGGCCTGGAATCCAAAGGTACGTTTCTCAGAAGAGCCCGTGGGTTTCACACTCCCCCCATGGGAAGGGGAAAAATAAATCTCATTGTGGGTGGTATATTAGTTAAGATCAGATAACAGAACATCCAAAATAACAGTTTCTGCTTCAATAAGACAAAAACAAGTCAGTCTGGGCTTTCAGAGAAATCTTACCATCTTCAAGGACCCAGACGCCTCTGTCTTGTTACTCTGCCTTCCTCCGAGTGGCTCCCCCCTCATTGTCTACAATGTCTAGCCCGGCTCCACCCATCACTCACATTTCAGCCAGTGAGAAGGGAGAAAGAAGGGAACACATCCACTCCCTTTAAAGATGAGTCCAAAAAGTCAAAATGCCACTTCTACTGAAAGACCCTCGGCCATCACTAAGGGAGGATGGGAAACGTCTTGCTGGCAAGCATCTGCACTGCTAGGAGAATGGATGCTGGGAGATACGTAGGACAGGACATAGATGGTTTTACGCCCAAACTTCGTGATCCCCAAGGACCACCAAGGAGCCGAGTCCGATGCAATAAACAAAAGAGCCTTTTCCATGTTAGCATGGGCTCTGTCCCACTCACGCCGGCAGCATGGCGGAAGAGAGAGCGAATTTCTCCAAGCCCCTGGGCTTTACTCCAGTGGTGATGTCACTGCTTTCGCTGACCCTGATTGGTTGGGTGAGGGTTAGGGTCCAGTTACACAAATGGAGGATAACTCCGCCCTGCCCCACAGTGGAGTCAGGAGTTTATCCTCGCCCCGCCCTGCCCTCTCAATGGGAAATCTCACACTCAGACGCTGTGAGCACACTGAGGAACCTGGAGCAAGATTGGTGGGCTTGATGGAGGCTCAAGTTACGGTATATGTAGAAAGGACCATAGAATAAAGGCTTGGGATATCATCAATGTTCTGGGCTCTCCAACTGAAACGTCTTCACGGGCATTGCATTTTGGTGCCTTAAAATCAGTAACATTAATAATTTGAAATAAAAGAAAGGGATTTGCTTCATGCACCATTCTTTTTTTCTTCTGCTCCTTTATAACCTCCATGTGGGATTTCCTGTTGAAATGAGACCAAAAGGGCAGCCATCCACAGCCTCCTCGCCTGAAATACTAAAAAGGAATCTGTTGTTTATTTATTCCTGTCAGGACCCAGAGCCAAGAGAATCGGCCCCGGGGGCAGATGTGCGTTCAAAACAATGATTGGGTTAATATGGAGACAAATGCACACCCAAGTATCAATTCCTTTGGGTTGTTTCCAGTATCTTCATTAACTCATATACAGAATCAGGAAAGGCCTCATGATTACCATGACAACGCTTTCAGTGACTAAGAAAGTCTGTGCTAGATGACCCAAGGGCAAACCTCTTTGAGAGATCTCAGATGGATTGAATTTCTGATATGCTGAATTCTACCCTTATTCTCAAAATCTCCTCTGTGATTCAAATGCAGAACATTTGAATCAATAAGTGCATGAGGCCCTTTTCTCTAATTAGAAACTCTGGCACAATCATTAAATAAAGGGGGGGGGGGGAAGGGTTGGAGATACAATGAAGGTAATGGGATATTCCCAAACCATGGTGATATCTGATTCTTCACCTCAGGAGTTGTTAGTTCCAAATTATAGTCTATAGCTTGGGGCCAAAGTAATTTTCATTTTTTTCTACTCCGTGTTATCAATCTGCCAATGGGTAAGTGACAGATGACAAGGAGCACCTCGTTCACTCATTTGACAAGCATTTATCAGGTGCCAGCCAAGCTCAGGTGTTGTGTTTAGAGGACAGCCATGGAGACTCAGTCTTTGTCCTAAGAGAGCTCAAAATCGAGGGAGGAAGAGAGACAAGTCAATAGACAATGAGGATGTCTTCTGTAAGTGCTCAGACTTTTAAAGGCGCTTTGAGACTCTAGAGAAGAAGCTGTGTATCTTGGAAGGCCAAATAGAAATTGGCCGGACAATAAGGAGAAAAGAGTGTTACAAGAGGGGAGAAGACAGCATGCTCAAATCTTGAAGAATAGAAAGAGCTAAGTATGACTGAAATAGAGAGTAGGAGGTAAGTGTGTTCAGATAAGGGATGGAGGGGTAAGCAGGCACCAGATCCTGCAGATCTTTGTTACTGTGTCCAGGAATCTGGACTTCATCAGGGAGTATCTCAGTGAAGGTTACTTCGGATGGAATTAGCAGAAATCCAAGGCCAATTTGCTTAAGCAATAAAGGGATTTGGGCAGGATGTCGGGTCGCTTGCAGAATCCAAGGCAGAGACAACAGCTGGACCTCACTGGGACTGTCCCCAGATGTAAAGCCCTCACAAATCGGCACCTCTGCTTCTCTGTGTGTATCTGTCTCACTGCCTCTCTCTCTCTCTCTGCAGACCATGTCTCTCAGTTAATCCCAGATTTCAGGGTAGGGGGTTTGAGGGGATGGATAATCTAATTGTATTAGCCTAGCTTGACACAGTGGTTTAGTGACTAGGGTTGTGTTAGAGAGAAAAAGATCAATCTTGGCAACAACAACAAAAAAATGCTTTGTACCAACACATAAAGAGAACAGAATGAGAACAAAAGCATTTCAGGTTTACACGCTGGTGGAATGTAAGTGTCTACCAAGAATGTCACACAAATTTCTTGTGTTTATTACAGTAAAATGGGAAACAAAACGATTACAATTTCTCTTATCTCCTTGAGAGATACACACACCTCGCAGTTGTCTCTGGTAAACCTAGACACCTCTGACTCCTTCTGGAGGGAATATTTACGGATCATTTTACTCTTACAGTTGACACTTCAAAATATACCTTACAAGGATCACTAACGGGTTTTGAGCAGAAAAGCAACAGCATAAAAGCAGGGATTTAAACAAATCACTTTGGCTTCAGTGTGAAACGGACTAGGTCAGTGGTTCTCAGGGGATGTTCCTGGATCAGCATCAGCCTCGCCTGGAACCTACCCCAGACCCCCGAATCCAAAACTCTGGAAAGGAGAGAGGGCAGCAATCTGTTTTAACAAGCTCTCCAACGCCCAGTAAAATTTGAGGACTAGAGAGAATCAAGATCAGGAGTGTGAACATTAGTGTGGACAGGTTCTCTTCAGTATCCTCTGACCTCTTCTAGCCAGCCTCAATTTGCACCAGCACTTGTTCCAGACCAAAAGTCTTCTCCACCCAGGAGACAGGAGGTAACATGATGAGGAGGAGGCAGTTTGAGGGCTTGGGTCAGTGGATAATTTACTGACCCTTGCTACACATGTGGCACTGCTCTCAGCTCTTGAGGATCTGCTGGTCCAGCCAACTGGCAGAGCCAGATTTGAAACTCAGGTCCATGAGGGGATCAACCCTAGACACTTTCCCCAGTGCCTCCTCCCAGTGAGCCAGGACAAGGAATGGAATGCCTGTTGCCTGGAGTCAGATGAAGGCGTTGGATGACCAAGGGCTAACTGAATAGGAAATAAAGCAGAAGAGACGTGGAGATAATGGGAAAGGGAGAAGCCAGGATGAGACCATATGCCACACTGGTGTATCTATTCTGCCTACCCATGGGATCACTGCTGTTTTAGGTAATTGTCTCTTTCTCTCCTCCCTATTTCTTCTTTTTCTTGTCATCACCTTTTCCTTCTTTCCATTATTTGGTCTTCTCATGGCCCTAGTGGGGGCCTTTAGGACCCAGATGGTAGTATACGTTGAAAATAATCCAGCATGGGGGTTTCAAAAAGGGAAAAGCAAAGATGAAAAAAGGGATGCCTTCTTACAGCTCTACTCCCAGTGGTGTATGACCATTCATTCCAAGCTACTGTTCCGTTTTCACATATACAGTTACAATGGGTACACTTTTACTCCATCGCATGTGGCTTATCACATCACCATATTTTATAAATCAAATCAAGTGTGACTGACTCCAAATTGCCAACTGTCGGGGTGGAAAAGGTCAAATTCCAACACTACAGGACTTCCTCCTTCTCTACCCCAGCCCCTAGATGTCTTATGCAATCTAGAACGTTCAGGGAGGTCCCTGAGATCACAAAAGCCTGCCTACCATCTTAGAATAATAAAGGAGGAGGGGGAATAAGAATAAATTAATGTCTTCATAAATTAACCTGTTGTATAGCCCATGGGAAAGTTTACCTCACTGAACGGAATGAGTTTTATCAAGTTTGTTTTCAGAGGTGACTTTCCAAGGCTCTCAATTTCCTGCTGCTATGGAGCCACAGATCTGACCTTCCCCAGAGGCAGCTCCATGGCGGATTCAGTCAGCCTAACCCGCCCAAGCAGTTTGGAACAAATGACCAAAATGTGGCTGCATTTCTCTTCATTGCTGAAGGCTACAAATAATGACTGAAGGGTTTAGGTGTGTTCCTAGCCCTATGGCAGGCATGACACCTCATGGATTTTAAGAATTTAATCTACACTTAAGTGAAATTGATTTTAAGAATTAACTTCAGTTAAGTGTAGATTAACTTCAGTTAAGTGTAGATTACCCACGTCAGAGCCTCTCAGCACATATTGTAATAGACCCATCGGACATTTCCACGTAAATTATGCCAACCACTAACTCCAGAACAATCGCTGCATCGCAGAGTGTGCTAGAGAGGGGAAAATCTATTAAACTGTAAAATACCCTC